GGGTCCAGAGCACGTCGGTGACAGCGACTAAACCACGGCGGCACCACCACCCTAGATAGTTGATAGAACGGTCCGACATTGGATGTGGGTTTTCTGTAGGCACACTTCTGAACGCAGTAATTCGCTCTGAGAGGTCTTATTCATTTTTGACCGCCAATTGCATTTTTTTGCCCACTCCAATCATACTATTCACTGATGTGAGTAGCCGACAACATCAGTAGGTGAGGTAATCATGTGGTGACAAGAGTTTTCTGTTTAATAATGAAAGTTGGCAATCTAAGCAAACTGAATCGGTGCCATTTTTAAATATCTGATTCTCTGAACCAACGAGCTGCACAGGATTTCTTGTCACGGGAAGATCTAATCATGCTTGAAAGGTCCTCCAGGTTTTACTTGAATTGCCGTCCCTGTGGGCAAAAAACAATGATGGAGAAATAATCGATCGAAGTAAACGCGACTCCACTTCGCTTTACTCACTGGCTTCCAGTTCGGTTCTCATCTTATTTAGCTACTGAACACCCTAGCAGTTACCCGTCCATCAAGCTCCATTGTTACTCTTTGATTTCAGTCAAGGGAAAATCGTTTAAACGCACGGCTCATTATTGTCATCTCTGTCCACAGATACCGACATCAATCGATGTCGGTCATTTTGAAACAAGGCATTTTGTTCTACGCGAAAGGCCGAGTTGTTCATGGATTCGGTCGGGGTTCGAAAAAGTTGGGCATTCCCACCGGTGAGTTTACCAGTAAATTTCTTAGACACTTCTTTTTGCGATACTAGCCAATCTGGAAGATGCGGTCGTTGCACGTCTACCTGCTTCGGTTAACACGGGGATTTACTTCGGTTGGGCAAGAATTGATAATGGTCCAATCTATAAAGCGGTCGTGAGCATTGGTTGGAATCCGTATTTCAAAAATTCCAAACGTTCTTTCGTATGTGATTGTTTCCTAATGCATGCGTCGATGATGCGTAATCTTTTTTTCAGGAGGCTCATTTGTTACACAAGTTTGAGGAGGACTTCTATGACAGTCAACTACAACTAAATATCCTGAAGTATCATCGGGCAGAGAAAAATTTTGAATCTCTCGGTACTTATTTGCTTACTTTGCTAATTTCCGATTCTGTTGTTCATGGGTTGCCTACCTAATGTGAATTAATACTGTTTGTTTGATGATTTTACCCATGACATTTCGCTCGCACACGTTTATCTGTCTAAATGTTTCAGGACAGTTTGAGCAGTGTATCCGTTGTCCGTGGCTTTATTGCGGTTGTTTGCCAAGCGAAAGGATAATTTGGCTCGTAACAACGCGTAGTCCGTATCCATAGGTGTTGACCAGTGGGAGTGGTAGCCATGGATCTACCCCCTCCAGCGGTGACTGATAGCGATGTGGTTGATTTGAGTCCGGCACTATGAAGAGTTTGGCGGTTTCCATGTAAGGCGATGTTGTTTCTTGTGCGAGAAAAGGGAGGAAAGGGAATTTTGGCCTCAAAATGGCATCGGTACTCCATTATATCACCAATCCTTACTCCTCGGTGACCAAAAGCCATGAATCAGGAGTGTGTAAAGAAAGTCAGGTCTTCAGCGGAACGACGGGAGAGAGAGAGAGGGATCCGGTATGACGGNNNNCGGTCAGTTTTTTTTTCGTGCAATCACGGTTTGTCCGTCGCTATGTAAATCACAACTTGGAGCTAATAAGGAGTCGAATCAGGTGACGGGTAGTCCCTTTCGGAAATAGGGAAAATATTTTTTCCAGAAAGTAAGAAGACTACCGTAGTAGAGGCGAAGAAAATTGGGTGGCGGGCAACCCAATCCAATAGTTGGGCGCAACTTGCCGGATATCATTAACATAAAATAGTAGAATCTAGGATCGGGCAAAGTGAATCGTTCTCGTGATCACTATGTGCCGAGACGAACTTTGCGGCTTCCGGATGTCGGTGATTTCTTTACGAAAGAGTGTAGACTACTTCATCGTTCTTGTTAGTTCTGTAAACTACATCATAACTAAATTCAGACTACCTCTTTTGTTGAATTCAGTCGTTAAACATTTCCCCTCTTTGTGCTCCGGCATAGTTAAAGGCAATTGATCTTTCGTCTGTAGTTCGTGCGTACTGTATCCCGAGTAGTGTAGGTGTATAAACGGTTCGTTTTCGGGGGGTGACACGGCGATTAACCTACCATTCTAAGGACAAGTTCAACAAAAACAATGGCGATTCTGTTTTAGCACTAGGTAGTCAACATAAGTTGGGTACTGGATAAACAGAACACATTAGCCGGCGGTGCCACCGAACGGCATGCTCAGCCTCATCTTTATCTTAGTATTTTTGGGTGAAGTTCTAAGTTAGAATGTACAGCAGAGAGGGAGAGGAGAATTATAGCTCCCAGTTATGCCGTTGTAAATCAACTCTCGAGGGAATATTCCGCTAGCGAGAGTGTTGGTGGCTGTGGAGTAAAGAGTTTGCTGCTGCGGCCCCAATAATACTGAGTCGAGGACAGAATTCGCTTGGTATTTTGTGGATTGAACTTTCAGCCACGTTGGTTGTTGGCCTGATTTTCCACGTGTTTTAAAAGCTGTTTCGCGAGCAGTACATTTAAACCGCCAGAGGAAGGTGTCTGTTGTAATTTCATATGTAGTTGTTCGACAGCTGCTGCTCCAAAAGATCTTTTTACCTCATCGTGGTTCAAATCATGTTGAATGAGAAGCTTCTCGCTTATGGTCAAGGTCTGTAGGCATGAAATAATGATGTCACCTAGGGAATCGTTCGTATATTATAGTGTCAGCTGCTTCAAAATGGTAATCTTTTGCTAGATAGTAAATTTAAAAAAAATAACCAACGTCTTGTCCGTCATCTTGCTTACAGGTCGCTAGGACGTGTCGGGTGCTTAACATAGTCTCGAGTTGGAGGCAAATTTCCTGCAGCGTTTCTATTGTAAATCTGTAATCTATGCATCCCGAAAGGTAATTGTAAACTGTTACGTCAAGATAGTGTGTGAATGTCGTTCATTGCCCAGAATGGGCATCCACAATATATTCGAGATCGATTTCCAAAGTATGAAACCAACGGTTACATCGGTTAGATGCATCAAGTCGACGGACTGGGAAGTCAAAAAATCCATATTATCATACAAATACGTTGAGAAAAAGGGAATCGAGAGATGCAATAATCACCTTCCTACAGTTTAGGGGCTGAAATGTATGTTGAAAAAAGTGTACAGGTGAATCATGCGAAATACATCAATATCGTCACACTTGCTTACGCCTTGTCTCTTTGGACCGGTGCCGGTTATTAAACCAGATAGCTTTTGACCGTTATCAGTAGTCACAGCCTTATTGATCTTAGGTTTTACAATCCACCACAGGCATCTAGTACGGGCCGAAGAAACTCCACGTCGATGCTTTCTTTTGACTTTGAAGTACACCATACTATTGAGAGATATTCAAACTGTGTAGATGGCTGTTTGCCAATATATCGTTCATTTCCACCACCGATGATTTCACTGTTTCAAGGCCAGGTTGTCATCAATAGGCTTGCATAGCAACCCCAAAGGAGTGCCTCTACTTCTGTACTGTAAAATCGGCATTCGGGAATGAATCCACTCCAACGGTGGTCATTATTAAGGTAATCTATCATGGACCCATCGATAAGGAGGAATGGGATCGATCACTGTGTGAGATGATGCCGACCTTGACTGTATGTATATGTGTATACTTATAATGGATGCGTAAAATACAGTCCCTGATAATTTTGGTTCTGCTATCCGATTCAACTCGGGCATTGTTTTCTCTCTTCTACTCGTTGTGTCTTCTAGACGCCTTGATTCAGTGCATTCAAGATGATATTCAGGCGGCTGACCGTTATTTGGATCACCCCGTGTCGGTGGAGTGGAGCGATCCGAAACACTTTCATTCCTTGTCCGAGTCCAATGGGGAATGCATATGAATTAAAAACTGTTCTTGTCTCTGCTGCGTGGACTAGATTTGATCAGGCACTGCACAGGCGAAATTCACTCGCGTTACCAAGCCCAACTGCAACTGTCATGCCAAGGCCGATTGCCCACTTCCGCGAATGTGTGCAGCCGTACATATCGAATTGCATTTACCGAACTCAATATAGCCACACCCATGCTCCCTCTGGTTAGAAGCTAAGGGTGTGTGGGAGATTGTCCCCACTGCCTATTTCCACTGACTACCGTTCGTTCAGTTGTACTTCAACGTGTATCTATTAGGCTGTGATTTTTTTGTTTTAAAGAACTAATGGAGCAATATTGGGTTTCTTTTAAATTACACGTTTCTTGTTTCCCATGGAGCACGAGGATAATTGTACAATCTGTATACCTATGTTTGTTCTTGCCATAATACCAATGCGGGGATAAATTCAGGCGTGGATAATAACAATAATAACATATCGTTTTACGCTTCTTTGACTTTTCCACAAAAATTCCAAAATGGTCGAAAATACTTCTGGTTTATCTGGTATACCATCGAACGGTAAAATGTTGCGTAGTCTGAGTGTCCCTTTTCTAGGGCAGTTACCAGTTCTGTCATATTTCGGGATGATTCTCCCTCGCCGTGATAGGATTAATTGTACGGGTTAGATACAATCCATGGAAATTTATTATCTTTGAGGTGCATGCATAAACGACCTAATTCCCGCAGTCTCATTTTCAGTTTACGAATTAACTGAATAAACATGTCACCAGAATATATGGATTATTTTTTCTTCAAGAAAACTCCTGAGGTGTCCTTTCGGATTCCGCGCTCGCAGATATTCGTTCGCATACTCTGACAACATTTACTGATACAAGATGTCTGCTACAGCGACATTTCCTTCGCATATCATCAGTTACTTCATGCGAATTACAAATGGACATTATATATGTTCATGGGGTATGGTGAAAAATAGATTTAAGGGCGAGATTCATACTTGTTCACATGACAGTGTAACTAGTTTACCAACACATTTTCTCCTCATTGGAATACAGATGAGTGAAAAATTGTTCGCAAATGGATGAGAATGACGTGTTAATGTGTGTGCCTGTGTGTGTGTTTGAGTAGGTTTGTGGAAATAATTGAACCGGTGCGATCGAGTCTATGCAAACAGCATGCGAGACACTTTTGACTCTACCGTTATCGCCAACATGAACGTCAAAAACAAGGTAATGTCATTGGATGTACGATCACTGTTTACAGATGTTCCTGTTCAGGAAGTCACTTCAATAATTCATAATTACGCAATCGAGTACAACTTACTTCTTAAAGTACCCCTTCCGGAATGATGCAGATTGCTCAGTTTATGCACATCACATGTTCAATTTGTATTTGATTGCAAATATCATAAACAAATAGATGGAGTGGCTATGGGAAGCCCTCTCGGACCTGTATTAGCTGATATTTTCATGGTTTATCTTGAGGATAAAGCGTATATAATTCTTCAACAAGTACCCGTGTATAGGCACTATGTTGACTATGTCTTCCTGATTTGTAAGAGTGAGCAGCAGATGAATGAAGTGTTTCAACACCTGAACGCGTTACATGCAAATATCAAGTGTACGACTGAAAGGGAAACAAATGGAGTTTTGCCTTTCTTAGACGTGCTCATAGAACAACGGGTCACTGGCTAGAAGTACCTACCATAAAAAAATTTGGTCAGAGCAATACTTGCGTTTTAAAAGTTTTGCCCTAATAGCATACAAGCGTGGACTGGTACGTACATTGTTTAATTGAGCACGCAAAATCGCCACGAACGGCGAAATTGACAAAGACAACAGTCCTCTATGAAACACTGTTGGACAACGGCTAACCTGCAAAGTTCGTTGATAAGTATGCCGGACAGCAGGGAGAAAAACACGCACTTCTAACTGTTCCCCGGAAAAGTGTTTTTCTTTGTTTACCCTACAAAGGTGATAACGTATCGATTCTCATTAAACGCCGGCTCAGTGCGGCAGTCAATCGAACGTACTATGCGGCCAAGTTGGTCTTCATTGCGCAGACAAATCGAGTGCCGATGTCAGCTAGAAAGGGTCACATCCCAGCAACCGCCAACTCAAATGTAATTTATGAATTCTCTTGTATCTGTGGATGCAGATTCGTCGGTATTGCGGCATTTAGGAACACGAATCTCGGAGCACATTCCAAAATCGCCTCCTCAGTTAGGTCATCCTCGTCTGCGTGATCCATCTGTCTGCGCGCGTTACGAGGATAAGCCGGGACAGGAGCTAAGAGAACCGCAACACAGTGGAGTAGACCAACAGTGGGATCAAATGAGATTTGCCGTACACTCAGCAGCTAACTTTGCTTGTAGGACCGAGCCCAAATTTCGCCGAAGACATCGAATCTCTCAGGAGTCAGTAATCCCAATGGATCAGAAGCAAAAGATCCCAATCTGTCAGGATCAGCATAGGACCGGTGTCGCCCATAACGTGAATTCACCAAAAGCAAAAGATCGCGAAAGCTGGTGGGACAAAATATCTAGTGAAATGGAGGTAGTTTCTGCATCAGGGAATAGTCAGACTGTTTCACCTGATATGCAGTACTGGAGGTCGTCGCATACCGGCCAGAGAGACCATTTGTGATAAAGAAGAACGACCTAATCGCTGCGCAAAGCATTTTAGTGAACAGGCCAAGTGCTAGTACGGTCATTCTAATAACTGCAGTGGAAACTCTATGGGTGGTAACATGTGAGTCCCCATCAAAATTGGAAGTACGAAGCTGCATTCAATCATTGAAGGAGGAGAAGGCTGGGGACCTGACAGGCTTCTTCCTGTTCTTTTCAAGGTTGGCAGTGATTCTCTTGTCGACTCGATTATTAACTTACTCTGCAGCATACGGTCAGGAGTGTATCCCTTTGTCCTGGGGTGAATTGTTGGTCGTCCTGATCTTCAAGACGGGGTCACGCAATGACTGCGCAAACCACCGCGGGATTAGTTTAATTCCGATGCTCACAAAATTATTGACTTCTGTGATACTCCGCCGCCTGACATCCTTAAGGGAGATGGATATCCGCGAACAACAAGCAGGATTCCGAGCAGATCGCTGTTGGATCGACCAAACCTTCACTCCGCGTCAAGTCCCCGAATTGCGTCACATCGTCAGTCAACAATCGCAGTGTTCCTTGACCTACAAGTAGCCATCGGTCCAATTGATCGTGAAGCTCTTCTGGGGTCGCTGCTTTGCAAAAGAATTCCACAGAAGTGTTTGAACCCATTGCGGTCGCTGTACCTGCACACTTGTGGTATCGTAAGAGTCTACGATGGGCTTAGAAATCGTTCGAAACCGGAAGAGGTGTTCTTCAGGGGTACCCTATTTCGCCATTCCTGTTAAATTTTGGTGTAGAAAAAATACCGGAGAACCCACTTAGTGGGCTCTAAAAGATTGGTATTGAATAGGCAGCTGGGGAAGAGCTGTACGATTTAGAATACGCTGGCGACGTCGTTTGCCTGTCCACACGTATGTAGGATGCACCAAGCGCTCTTGACAGACTTTCAAGTTCTGTAACTTCATTTGGTATGCGCTTTGCACTTTCAACGTGCAAAGTGATGCTATAAGATTGGATGTCATTTACGCTGATGCATGATGGTCAAGAGTTAACCATAGTGGAATATTTTTCCTACTTTGCTAGCTGCGTGACAAATGACGGTAGCATATTTAATGAAATACCTACCCGAATTTCCAATGTTCGAGCAGCTTACGTATGGCTGAAGCACCTTTAGACGTGATGTTTCGTTGAAACTGAAAAGTCTTGTATACTGCACCAGTGTGCGGTGAGTTCTGCTTTATTTTTGCGAGACCCTAAATTTGCGCGTGGAAGATATTCGTCGTCTAGAAGTCTTTCACTACCGATGTTCACATACCATTAGAATAGCACACTCGACAGTCCGCCCTTTTTCAGTTTCGTATGTTAATTTATGCAAGAACTACTTACCTTTCGTTGTGGCAAGTTTTTTAACTCAAGTACCGAAATTCAATTGTAAATAATGTCTATCTGTTGCAATTTAAGTGTGACCACGGAACTGAGTAGATGGCGTCCACCAGGATCAACAAGAGTTTTAGACGTTAGAAAAATAGGTAAAGTCGATCTGGTGCTTAATTCATTGGCAAAACTGCATTCAAGAGAACCCGCGTAATCAAAAATAAGTGACATCTGTTATTGGGTTTACTCGGTATAATAATTTTTTGTCGTGCCCAAAGCTTTCATTTTTCGCTGTGCAATGTATTCATGTTTTTCTGGTGAAAAATGAGTACCCTAGTGCCTGTAGACATCAATTTGTTCGTTCTTGTTTTTGCTGTTACATGCTGAAACCGATCAATGCATTCGATATAACCAGTTCTGGTCAACATCCGTGCCGCCGTGATTAGTCATGGCCTTGTATTTGTAACTTGTGTAAGCATATATGCTTATATTTCAGTTACTGATACAGCGCAACTCATTATGCTATGACGTGATTCGCGAAGTGCATCGCCCAAACACTAAGGGGCTCAGTAGACCCCGGGTCGTAATTGTTACAGTGACCAACTTCGTCAATCCTCCAGCAAGGACAACTGCGATTATCGTTCACACGTTTGCACAGCTACGTTAGTAAGACAGAGTCGTTGAACTTGTTTTCACTCCCATCAGTGAGAGTAGTCTTACAGCCACAAATCTGACCGTGAAGCTGATAACCACCATAACAAAAAAGGATCACAAAAGCTCGATGTCCTCGAGACGATTTTATCTAAAAATGAAAACCGAAATTTGGTACAATACAAAAATAACTCACTTCTTCACCACTAAATTATAAACCCGCTCATCAGTACACATGTAATGCGTAAAATATTTCATCAAATCTCTTTTGTTATTTGATGTCTGCATTATCGGCTGATTGAATGTGGGTTTGAAGCCAGTTTTTATGAAATCGTTGATCGGGACGTGCGAATGCACAGACATCCAAACCTTTTTGTCCATATGCATGTTCATGAATGTCCGTTTCGGCTTCTACCAAAGATGAAACGTATTCCAGTGAATATTAGAAGAACGAACATTTGAAAGACCAGTAACGCCGTGGTATATTGATTGTAACACTGAAGAACAGGTTGGAGGCAGCCATGCTATTCGAGAACGCTGTGGGTTTGTTATGGCAAGGGGCACTATCTGTGAACAGTAAAACAGGATACCCTCGAGACACCTTGATGCGGTTGATGTCGGATAGCAGAAGTCCTCCATGAACTCGTTTAAAGATCATTATTGCTGAGCAGTCTTTTTCCATCTACACTGCGGAGTTTAACTGAAATACTAAGGGATTTTCCTACAGGGACATGAGTTGTAACTGGCTGATTCAGCAATTCTAACATGCTTCTCTCTGTTATATATAT